CATTTCATGATTCTATTGAAAATAAAATTCTTTAAGTTTCTAATGTTTCTGAACATTGACTGCAAATCAAACGAAACAAAAATTAATAAAAACAATAATTTAGCACTTTTTAATGCATTCTTAAAATTCTTTGAATAACTTTTAGGAATTCATTTTCTAGTAAAGTATTTAATACGAAAACATTGACCAAAATAGGCAGTACTGCACTGCACAGTGTACTGTACTTATCATAATCTTATTATCTTAAAAAATAAAAACTGTCACATCGAGTTAGTCATATATGGTATGTCATCCAGGAAAATATACCACTTTAACCCTAATTTCTAATCAAATGAAAGTCATATTACACTCATTTAATTACACTAATATACACTATTAAGCCATATACAAAATATCTATGATCTAGCTTATCTCAAAACTAAGTCCATAAACCGTAAAACTAAACCCATTTCCTATAATCGTAGGGATGTCTGGCCCTATGGGACACCGCGGGTCAGGAGGACTACGAGCGGATCCGACCCCTGAGCTATCCGGACACAGATGTGGTGCTCATCTGTTTCAGTGTCGACTCGCGGATCTCCTTCGCCAACACTAAACTCAAATGGGAGCCCGAGATCAACACATACCTGCCCTCCGTTCCCATCGTATTGGTGGGCAATAAGTCGGATCTGATCTCCGAGAAGACAGTGACCACNTGTTTAATAATGCACTTTAATTTGGCATATTTTGTCTGGATATATATTTTTAATTTAGTGAGTTATTAAAATTTTAACTCGCGGATCTCCTTCGCCAACACTAAACTCAAATGGGAGCCCGAGATCAACACATACCTGCCCTCCGTTCCCATCGTATTGGTGGGCAATAAGTCGGATCTGATCTCCGAGAAGACAGTGACCACCGATGAGGGCTGGAAAATGGCGGACACTATCAACGCCGTCGCATATCTCGAGTGTTCGGCGAAGAACTTGTTTGGCGTCAAAAAGGTCTTCGATGTGGCCGTCAGGGC